GGGGGCATATCAAGCACTGATTCACCACACCATACAATGCATAGATATGTGATGATGTCCATTGCATAGCCTCTATTCACCTTGACGAGGGAGAGTGTTCACAGGATCTGGTGAGGTGGTTCCATTGATGGCAGGAGGTTATAGGTCACTCCGTACGGAGGTTTTCGCGTGCTCATGTGTCATATTGGCCATGCAACTCCATAACCAGTGACATAGTCGAATGACCTCTATGAACATACTGGTATATGCCTCACCTGTTGTTTGTTTGCAATTTATTGCTATGTGTTGTTTTCTGAAGGTGTAAGCTCATGCCAGGGAACACTTTGTTGCCTTTGCTTGTGTTGTGTTCAGTTCGATGGCACTGGTACCATTATCAAGTTAAAGCAAGAGCTTGACATTACCGTCAATGGAAAGCCGGTCATTGCACCATACGACATCTGCTCTATTCGCATATTGTACAACAATCTCTTTGTCATTGTCCAAGACGTGAAGCGCGACTTCAAAGTATGTCAACCAGAATACATATACATTATATCCAGTGACAGAGTATTCTGCCGTGAACACTGGGTGACTAGAAGCCGCGATGGGGGCTGAGTATTTTTTGTAGACCACCCCGGTTGCGAGGATTTTTCCAGACCAGTGCTTACTTTAAGATCCACAAGCAATTTGATTTTGGAAGTATTTTCTGTGCCTTGCGAGCAATGTAATGTTTATTATAGTACATTACTATTTTAAACGCCGCATAGAGTTATTTATTGGGTCCCTGATCACTTGTTTATATAGTTCATTCACTAATGATGATCAGAGGTGGACAAGTTTGTAATTTCTCTAGCTGTTTCTGGTACAGTGTTGGTCGTGCAGGCAGTGTAGTCAGAGCAAAGGGAAAGTACCTAGGTCGGGATCCGTCAGCTGTTTAACAATTTGTCACTGTTTTCTTTTCCTTCGCATCCCTCTGATTGTTCTGTTGTAGGTATCATGGGACGGGTCAATGCGTGTATATGTGGAAGTAGATCCTTGCTATGGGCACAGGATGCAGGGTCTATGTGGTGACTTTGATGGTGATGCCAGCAACGACTTGAGGGCCAGAAGCGGTTAGTTCAGTTGATGAATTTGTCAGCCACCATTGCCATTGTGAATCTGTGTGTACCAGCCACCGTTGCCATTGTGAATCTGTGTGTACCAGCCAACATTGCCATTGTGAATCTGTGGGTACCAGCCAACATTGCCATTATGAATCTGTGTGTACCAGAAAAACCTGCCCTGACCGGGGTGCAGCGCACTCTCTCCTGATGTAGGACTCTCTCCTGATGTAGGACTCTCTCCTGATGTAGCAGGATTCCGCTTGATCCAGGGATGGACGTTCGATCCACAGCACTTTGGTGCATGAATATTTGTCCGGTCAATGCAGGATTCCGCTTGGCACGGGTCCAGCAAACGCTGTGTTTTACTGCAGCAGAGTTGTGAATGTTGACATCCTGTTGGAGTACATTGCCTTGTTGTGAAATTCCTCTTCTCGTGTCTTTTTCTTCTCAGGTATTCAAGAAGCAAACGTGTATGCTTTTGGTAACTCCTGGAAGGTGGATGCCAATGCATTGGACACACCGTTGCAGTACAAGAGTGCATGTGACTTGAAGGGCTCCTGGCGGAGATTGTACTCTCAAAGCAAGTGCCAGCGAGTGCTACTGGCAGATGATTTCGCGGCATGCCGTGATGTAGTCGATGTTTCCTATTATCTGGACCGTTGTGTCGAGTCCACGTGTGCCTGCGATCTGCCTGGTGATGGTAGATGTCTGTGTACATCCATTGCACATTACGCTCACGCGTGCGGACGCCATGGTATCTGCGTGAAATGGAGAGAGCAGTTTGGTTGTCGTAAGTCCAGCACTTTGCTTGTTCTTCAACCTCTGGGTGTTCCTCTTGGTAGCCTATGGTATGTTTGGCAACAATCTGCCTTATTCTAATTCTGAACTTGCTCAAACTCGCTCTATTTGAAGCTATGACCTTTCCTGATGTACGAGTATACAGCAAGGAGTTTCAAGTCAGATGGGCCTTTTAGTGTTTCAATGCTTTTATACATACATTATGAATTTCTGATCACAAGTGGCATTTTGTAAACTTTCGAATTTCGAGTAACGAGACCCAGAGAGCTAGAGTTCTCAAACCTCTCATTGCGCGATTCCATTCAACCGGGTTTTGTATCATTCGTTTTCAGTTTACGGCCTGTGTTGTTGTTGTTGTTGTCGTCGTCGTCGTCGTCGTCGGTGGTGGTGGTGCTGCTGCTGCTGCTGCTGCTGCTGCTGCTGCTGTTGTTGTTGTTGTTGTTGTTGTTGTTGTTGTTGTTGTTGTTGTTGTTGTTGTTGTTGTTGTTGTTGTTGTTGTTGTTGTTGTGCAGCAATGCAATGTACTGGTAGCAGTGAGTATGATCCATGCAGCTGTCCTAACCGTTGTCCACTCACTGATAGCGATTGCACTCGCTCCGACTTCTATGAAGGTCAGTTTTATGTGATTGTGCCTTTGTCGCCCTTTTATTTTTTATGACCGTCATTGTTTGGACTATCTACTTTTTTGTACGGCTTGACCTTATTGCCGTTTGATCTTTTCGTTTCCAGTCAACACATGCTATTCTTGTTTGTGTAGTGTGTTTGTTTGACTAGCGATGTTCCACACAGCTTGTACGCATTGTGTTTGCATGTAGCAAACGCCAAGAGTGCTACTCTAGGATCGCTTGTAGTGTTTTGACTGGGTTTAGGTGGATGTTTACGTTTCATGATTCTTGTTGCTTCCTCCCATGTAATGTGTTGTGCACATAGGCTGTACATGTCCCAGTGGAACCGTGTACGATGGTATGGATTGCGTGCCATGCCCAACATGTTTGAGCACCACTCAGACAGCAAACGTTTCAGTAGGAAGAATTGAACAAAGCAATGGAGTTCTGTTGTAAGTACTTCTAGGGAGTAGTGAGTATTTGGTGTTGGTATTGAAGAGTGGTGGAATATTAGTAGCTCTATGCATTTCTACTAATTTTCTAGAAGATGAGAAATTGAGGAGCAAAACATTATCCCTTTAGAAGGTGGCCCATACTGCATCGGATTTGACGTACGCAAATGGGAACCTCAACAGGTTGAAACTTAAGTCTAATCTCGCTCAAAAATTCAACGATCTAATTATCCAGGTCGAAGAGAAAACTCTCAGTTGCTTGTAGAAATAACCCTGCGATCAATGGTTCCCAGCATGAATCTCGCTCGAAAGGCAGGCGGCAATCACAGCAACTTGAAAAGCGTGCAAAACGACTCGAGTTACGAGAATTTTGAGACTTTTCTTGTGTTGGCAGAAATGGAATATGTCAACAGCCTCTTGTAATTTGTGTAGCACAAGGTTATGTCTACCCTTTGCGGGAAAAAAATGGAGACTACATTCGGATTTAATAAACTTGGATGTGTAGCAAATAATAATAGTGAAGCAGAGAAAGTACCAATAGGTACAAGTTGCTAGCAACAGTTGATCAATTGAACCAGGTTATAATGAACACAGTCTGATCTTCAACCTTCCAGGTAGCGAGGTAGGGAGGCTATTGGTTTGCACATTTGGAGATAGTTATGTTCTAGCTAGGTGTCAGGCCGGTGAATGTCTCAACACTCCTTATCAGGCCGTTGAATGTCTCAGCACTCCTTGTCAGGCCGTTGAATGTCTCAGCACTCCTTGTCAGGCCGGTGAATGTCTCAGCACTCCTTGTCAGGCCGTTGAATGTCTCGGCACTCCTTGTCAGGCTGGTGAATGTCTCAGCACTCCTTGTCAGGCCGGTGAATGTCTCAGCACTCCTTGTCAGGCCGGTGAATGTCTCAGCACTCCTTGTCAGGCCGGTGAATGTCTCAGCACTCCTTGTCAGGCCGTTGAATGTCTCAGCACTCCTTGTCAGGCCGTTGAATGTCTCAGCACTCCTTGTCAGGCCGTTGAATGTCTCAGCACTCCTTGTCAGGCCGGTGAATGTCTCAGCACTCCTTATAAGGTTTGTGTCCAATTGTTGCACTATCCGACTGTTCATAACCAGGTTCAAATGATAGTTTGTTGCTCGTAACTCGTGCTCAATGGTCCTTTCGCTTCAAGACAAATCGTAGGAGCAGATAACCGAGGCACTAGGAATGAGGCAAGAGCAAAACAGGCCACATGCAGTTCTCTCAGCGTGGAGGTTGTGTATTTGTTCAACATAGTCCAGGACTCCTCGCAACTTGCAATATCAGCCCTGTCTACTAGGCAGAAACTGCCCCAACCAGACTCACTAGCGCGCGACCCAGACATGCATGCAATGCAGCATGTCTCTTGTTTGCAAGAAAATCTCATAGCCTAGAGCAAGCCACATAGAAATTTGAAAGCTCGTCACTTTTGCAAGCAAGCAGGCAGGGACTACAGAGGGGTGTGGCAAAATCTCAGATAGCACCAGATTGAACTTCGAGACCCGGTTCAGGGCGCCTTGGGTTTGTTGTTAGCAGTGTCAAGAATATGACCCCGTGCAGTGGCCAATTGATTGGGTTGGAATTCACTCTTTTACTCCTGGACCACCATATTGCATTTCTCCAATACAAGTCTCCATGTCTGTTTTCACCAGCTGGGCCAGCTGTTGGGTTTCCTCCGCAAAGTGTGCAGCTCTGGTCCTGTTGTCCGGACGTAAGAATATACGCAGTACCCTGGTCACGCCAAATTAGCCACCAATGGCTGCAGCATCTTAGTAAATACAAATTGAGTGAATAGAAGCACTGCAAGTACGAAAAACCGAGCCTGGTCCTTGAACTGCCATTGGAAAGCAAGAAGGTGCTGTTTTTTCATGGCTGAGCATGGCGAAATAGCGTAAGAAAAGAATTTTTCACTCACCAGTTTCTTTCCGCATACTGCTACTCTTCCACTGCGCAACTCTCCCCAACCTGCCATCGGGCCTTGTGTTTCCTCGTGGTAACTTAGTTTGGAGTTTGGAATAATCAAGTTCAGACTGACAAAAACAGAACTCAGCACTAGCTGCATGATCAAGTGTCACAGATAAATCCCAGCTGTCTTCTAGCGTTGGGCCCAGACATGTGTGCAAGCTTCTCGTTTGCAAGCGTATTATGCAGCCCAGAGCAAGCCACATAGAACTTAGCGACTCCGTTACTTTCGCAAACAAGCGGGAGGGACCACAGTGGGGTAAGACATAATCTCAGCTAGCTGAATTTTTACTTTTGAGGTGCGGTTTGGGGCGACATGAGTGCTGTTGTTAGCTATGTCCAGAACATGAGCCAAGACAAAGGCCACCTGCCGGGCCTGAAAAGTTACTCATTTGCTTGTTGACGACAAGACCGCATTTTTCCAGGTCGGTTCTCACAAGGTGGGAAACCCACCGAGTCCCTCTGCAGAGTTTGCTCCTCCGGTCCCGTCATCCAGATAATTATAAGAAAATGCAGATACCTTGGTTGCGCCAATGGGTGACTAAAGGCCGCAGCACTTTCGTAAATGCAAATGGGGTAGGCTTGAGGCCGAACTGCAGCGCAGCAAATGGAAACCGGGCCTGGAAGACATAGGAACTTCCTATGTTCTTGGGCAATTGGGATATGATGGTAGCCATTCTTTAGGTAAAACGTGAACAGAAAACAACCGGGATCGAAAAGATTCGGGACTAGTCTCAGGTCCTCAGCGCTAAAGTGAGAGTCGGCCAAATTACTATTGAGGAAGCGGAGGTCTATGATCAGCCTCAGTTTTCCATTGCCTTTTGGGACAACGCCCAGCGGGCTGACCACATGGGTAGCATCCCCCCCCCCCCCCCCCCCCACTATCTCAACTGCCCCCGAAGGCAGCATCAGAAGTATTTGGTCAGACACAAAACTGAAGCCTCTGCTCAACTTGCAAGTTGTTGATTGGACAAAATTCCTGGAATATGGTGTCCCGGGCTGAAACCGTTCTCTCGGCTGCTGTTGCCTGAGATGAAGAGCTGTGGATTCTGCCTCAGCAATTCTTTTGCCGTCTGCAAGGCTATCAGCCACGCTTCCCTCCTCGTAAACTCTACCTGTTTCCCAGTCAAATGAGTCAGCGATTTTCAGCTGTTTTGCCTGTTGCAGATCTCACTCTTACCCTGAGCTAGGAGTTCTTAGGCCTCGGGTGCGGAGTCCGGCGGTACCGATAAGGCGGCATCCACCTTTTGCAAGACCGTCTCGTTTGTGGCGAACTGGGCCTGTAGACCCGGCGACTTGAGCTTCTTGGGAGCTTGGCCTTGTTGATTTCGTAGTGACTGAGCTGCCTTCAGTGTTGCCACCTCAGCGCAGGCCGCCATGGCCTCCTCTTGCACTCCCTTGATCTGTGTTGAGAGGTTGGTAAACGCGGAGGCGAACCACGACGGCATCTCCTCACCTGCTGAGCTTGTTGTTGGTGGGTCAGGTGAGATGGCGGAGGTGGCAGGTGAGCGTCGTCTGGTGGTCCTGTCAGGCTCCGGAGGAGCCGCGGTTCCTTGGCTGCGAGTGGACATGGGCATGTTTGAGAAGGCAGGGGCGACAAAATACAAAACAGCCATAATGAAGAACACGATAACAACATCTTATGTACCAATACTTTCCCCTAAATTCAATACAATGTAACAATTGTCCACGGATTCGACACAAGCACTTATTTCATCGTCGCCCTACTCCTTCATTTCATAAATGGTCGGGTACTGGCTATGGATGGCAGCTGTCGGTACCAGTGTGCTTGGCACCCACTGTTGTGGGCACTGTCACCTTATGTGGCCCAACTGCTGGCAGGAGTTTGGCCCCCATTAGAAAATGGTCCATGGCCTGACCATCTACGCTCAAACTGACAGCTGGATCCGGAATTGCTGTGACAGAAATTTCGTAGGTGAGGTGTTCCTGCTTGAAAACTATCTCGCATTTGGCGAGGTGGCATAGAGGGCGGGCTATAGATGTGGCTCCGGCAGTTTGTTTGTCATCAGCTAGACTGTCCCAAAAGTTGTCCTCCTCATTTTAACTCTCACTGTCTCCCAGTGAAATGGGTCGACTGTTTTAGTTGTGTCTGCCTTTTGATGATCTCTTTCTCACCCCATGTGTTTGTGTGTGCTTGTGTGTGTGTGCTTGTGTGTGTGTGCTTGTGTGTGTGTGTGTGTGTGTGTGTGTGTGTGTGTGTGTGTGTGTGTGTGTGTGCGTGTGTGCGTGTGCGTGTGTGTACATGCATGCATGCGTGTGTTTGTATGTGCTCTTCAGTGAATGCTTGGCTGGACATTCTGCTATGACACCACTCTGTGCACCTGTTTCTCAGCCAGTGTGTGGTAAGTTCAGTCTGTTTGGAATCCGTGTGCAGCATCTAAATCGATTTCTGTGTGCGTGTGCATGTGTGTGCGGGCGGGCGGGCGGGCGGGCAGGCGTGTGTTGGTGCATGTTGGTGCATGTGCATGTGCGTGTGCGTGTATGTGCACTTGGTTGTTTTGTACTTTTGTGACCATAGTGCCATGATACGTATACCTGTACCTTTTATTTATGTATAAACTCGGATGTTGAGCCAATACAGTCGACCTACCCTTATAACGATAACCTCTATAACGATTACCCTTATAACGATATTTTTCTGCCAAACCAAATCACTCCATTGACTTTTGTATACAATGCCCTACCCTTATAACAATATTGCTATAACGATATTACCCCTATAACGATGTAAAATGGCCTGACCAATCAACATTTTCCATTTTATAACAATATCTAGCAGGGAAGATGTAGAGCCCACTATCCAGGTAGGGCAAGCTTCACTTGATAAGTCGCTGGGACATGACGAAATGCAATGGGCCACCAGTGGGCACCTTGCTGTGTACATAACGTGCATGTATGTCAGTTTTTCATGCTAGGAAGAGTGTAAAAAATGAACAAAAATCCATGCATTATGACGTGTATGTATGAAATGGACCAGTTACCCCTATAACAATATTTCTTGGTCTGACGCAAATATCGTTATAAGGGTAGGTCGACTGTAGTAATATGGAAAGAGAAAATCTATCTCACTATCTGACTGTATTATCTCGTTACCTTGGTTACCTTGGTGGACTGTTAGTCATAACTAGTAGCTTATAGGTCCTTTTCTCTTTTCTTATGTTTTGTGATTTTGAAGGGCCTGGTCCTGATTGTTCAGATATTGTTTGTCCGCTCGTCAGCTGCCCGCAGGTGAGTAATGTTATCTGGTATGTACTGTACTCGTGCTGTTAGTGGCACTATGTTTCCAAAGTCCATAACAGATTGCGCACTAATCAAGAGAGGGCACTCTTTTATTTAATGATGGTACATTTACGCCATCCGGCATAAAAACAAAGGAGGCGAAGAAAAGCAGAGCCTAAAATGATGAGTTTAGTTTACTGTGAATTATCACGACTCAACAGAAACGGCAACAAGAACTGCTATTTTTATAGTGAAACCACTAGTGCATTGACATGAACAAGAACATTACTAAACAACACCATACTTGCAAATGCACATTCACTTGATTACAAGCCCGGGAGGTGGGGGGGGGGGGGGGGGGAGGGGCACTATGCAAGGGAGGGTTTTATTTCTTCATCGGCTCTCAGAGACAGGGGCACTATTCGAGAAGGGGTACTATTCGAGAAGGGATACTATTCAAGAGGGGCTCTAATCAAGCGAGTACGGTCTATATGTTATTGTATGATTGCTGCGAGCATTGTGGCATGTCAAGCAAGATTCACTAGATCACATTCTGCGATGTGATGTGCAACATGCAGCACTTGTGAAAGTGTTCACTGCATGCAGCACACAGCTATATGTTTTCTGACGACTGCTTTGGCATGAAGTTTTCAGTTGCAACTTACATAACAAAGTTAAAAACTCAAACTGACTGTACCGCTTCTCTTCATTATTTATGTGTTTATGTTGGCTGTACATGTACTAATGCATGTAGTGCTTGAATTGATTATTTTCATCTGTTCTCTGCCATTGTATGCACAGTGCCAAACACCTGTTTTGCTACCCCCTCCTGCCTACGTACCAGAACCGAGCGTGGAAGTATGCTGTAAACATAAATGCCGTAAGTGGGATAATTGCCAGTGTTGTCTCTATACGTGTTTTGACAGCTTTTTGAGGTACAGTCAGATCTCGCTTACCCAGTCCTCTTTTATCCGGATCCCTCGCCATCCGGAAGAAAATCGTTGGTTACCGATTACAGCATATGCCATGCATACGTACAGTATGTGTGTTCGGTTATCCGGTTCCCTCGTCTATCCGGATATTTTTGTGGAAAACGGATGTGTGCGGTTAAACGAGGTCTGGCTGTATTACGGTTGTACTTGGGGGCGCTGCCGTATTGGATTGGATTGGTTTATTTAACGTCGAATAACAAGTATCTTCGGCAATACTGGCTGGGGTGCATTGTTGTCGCTAGGGGAACCCAATTTTTTGCCTAAATTGAAAACTCCACGCAAATTGCCTGAAATAATGTGACGGTTATTTCAGACAGGCAATGCTAAAAGACAAGCAACAACTTTAGGAGACACGGCATCCTTCAAGCACGTTCCCGCGCCTTGTCTGTCCAAAGTTTGATACTTGTGCATTGTATGAAGAGTGTAAAGCCTCCCAGCTATGTGCAGATCACTGCACTCACCTTATTGTGTTCGGTTGTGTGTGTATTTCTTTTGTACAGTTAAAAAACTATGTACACCATGCAACCGGACAGATCCATCGGGCAATACAGTAAGAACATACACATCTCTACTCCAGACTTGCTGTGACTGACACTGTCGCAGTCATAGGGTTTGGGCATGTACTCTATCTGCGGATAGGATTTCCCGTTGCTCTAATGTCCACAGTCAACCAGATATCACTGGTATTGTCATGTTCTCGTATTAAAGCTCATCAATTGAATGTGCATTGAGTGTGTATTGAGTGTGCATTGAGGAGTCAATCATAAAGAACAATCACCGACACACACACACACACACACACACACACACACACACACACACACACACACACACACACACACACACACACACACACACACACTAAGTAAGCATCGCCTTGGTCATCATGTTTACGATATGGTACCAGTGTTTCACATTGCAGTGTGCTTCTTTCTTCGACGTATGTGTGTGTGTATGTGTGTGTGTGTGTGTGTGTGTATGTGTGTGTGTGTGTGTGTGTGTGTGTGTGTGTGTGTGTGTGTGTGTGTGTGTGTGTGTGTGTGTGTGTGTGTGTGTGTGTGTGTATGTGTGTGTGTGTGTGTGTATGTGTGTGTGTGTGTGTGTGCATGCGTATGTGTGTGTGTGTGTGTGCGCATGCGTTTGTCTATGCACGCATGTGTATGCATTGCTGTATGCCTTGATATATGTGTGTATGTGTGTGTGTGTGTGTGTGTGTGTGTGTGTGTGTGTGTGTGTGTGTGTGTGTGTGTGTGTGTGTGTGTGTGTGTGTGCGTGTTTGTCTGTGCACACATGTGTGTTTTCGTTACTGTATTGTGTTCCTATGTGTGTGCACGTGTATACAGTGCAAACCGAGTATGGTACCATCGCCGGACCCATGTTGTCCAGATACCCGTAAGAAAATATTCTTTGTGTTATTGCCAAACAAGAATGCTCAATTTTACCAATGCATCGACCATCTTAGTTACTTACTGGTGTCTCTTAGAAACTGTGAACTAAACCCAAGCATTGACACTTTGACACGGCCCAGGATTCAAAACAAATTGCCCTTTAGTAACAACACATTTTTTGGTCATTTTGATCCAGTGACATTAGGACTATGTTATAACCATACTATGTCTTCTTGTACTCGGCTTGTGGTACTCATTTTATCGTATAGTGTGACATGATTAATTTTGAATGCATGTATGTGGTACTTTGTGTGTACTTCAGTACAAATGTACCCGCATGTACTCATGTTGGCTGTGTGCGTGCATGCATGCATGTGTGTGTGTGTGTGTGTATATATGTGTGTGTGTGTGTGTGTGTGTGTGTGTGTGTGTGTGTGTGTGTGCGCGCGTGCGTGCGTGCATGCGTGTGTGCTAAATCACCCTCAGCTGGATGTCTGGAGTGCCCTGATCGTCCAATATGTAGTTGCAAGGTATGAGGGTGTACATGACTTGGTCACATTGATTTGATGTTAGTTGTGCATGCTGTGCATGTGTGCATGTGTGCATGTGTGTCTCATCAGTACACATGGTGTACTTGGGAAGGTGTAGCTTGTGCGAGGGTGGGGATGCAACTTTATGGAGGGCATTGTGTAGAGCTTCACTCTGTACTTGCAGACATGTTGTTCATAATGGGTAGAGCTCTTTTCGCCTGGGGAAAAGAAGAAAGAGAAGTCATAAGGCTTCAGAAGAATGTTTTCTGGTACCTATCAGCAGGTAGAGATGGAGACTCCCTCGATTCACGCGAAGGCCTGTGGGGAATTCATAAATACAAATACAAATAGGTGACCTTGTGCATGTGCTGAACACCATAGCCAGTATAGCCAGTATAGCCAGTATAGCCAGTATAGTAGTAGGAGTGTAGAGATTGCTGTTTGACTGTATGTACTGTAGCTCTCTGAGTGGCATCTGCACCTTTGCTCTTTGATTGTACTACTGTTTGTCATTGTAATGCTCTGCTCTGCTCTGCTCTGCTCTGCTCTGCTGTGCTGTGCTGTGCCGTACCGTGCTGTGCTCTGTTGTGTTGTGTTGTGCTACAGTATCACAGTGCCGTGTCACAATGGAACCCACTCACTTGCTGTAAAAATTACTTCTGCGGTGAGTTGACCTGCAACAAACACAACACTTGCATTCTGCTTCACTACATCTATCATGCATTCAGATGCATCACCTGTTTCAGCACAGCATTCAGATGCATCACCTGTTTCAGCACAGCATTCAGATGCATCACCTGTTTCAGCACAGCATTCAGATGCATCACCTGTTTCAGCACAGCATTCAGATGCATCACCTGTTTCAGCACAGCATTCAGATGCATCACCTGTTTCAGCACAGCATTCAGATGCATCACCTGTTTCAGCACAGCATTCAGATGCATCACCTGTTTCAGCACAGCATTCAGATGCATCACCTGTTTCAGCACAGCATTCAGATGCATCACCTGTTTCAGCACAGCATTCAGATGCATCACCTGTTTCAGCACAGCATTCAGATGCATCACCTGTTTCAGCACAGCATTCAGATGCATCACCTGTTTCAGCACAGCATTCAGATGCATCACCTGTTTCAGCACAGCATTCAGATGCATCACCTGTTTCAGCACAGCATTCAGATGCATCACCTGTTTCAGCACAGCATTCAGATGCATCACCTGTTTCAGCACAGCATTCAGATGCATCACCTGTTTCAGCACAGCATTCAGATGCATCACCTGTTTCAGCACAGCATTCAGATGCATCACCTGTTTCAGCACAGTTTATAGAAATACTGTGCACAGCACAAGGCGAACTGAACTACTGTGAAGGAAGTCGGTGAGCAGATAACTAACGTTAGTTCGTTGACCAATCCGATTTTTATGTAATGTTTTCCTT